TCACACGTGGGCGCATTTAGACATAGCGGGAGTGATGACCAACAAAGATGAGATTCCGTATCTGCGGAAGGGCATGACCGGGAGGCCCACGAGGACCCTGATAGAGTTCTTGCTTCGGTTCAGTCAAGAAGATGCTTAGTTCAGATACTCTAAAATGCCTTCCTTCTGTCTACAGTGAGCATTTGAGCTTCAAAATATTTTTGAATGAATAGATGAAAATCTTTTAAAGGAAACAAAGGATGCTATTGAACAATGTAGAACAAAGTGAAATTTGTATGCTTTGATTTGCTTTTTCATTTTATGCAGATGTTTATTAAGGTAAAGCTAATATCTTGCTTGGCAAAAATTTTAAAGATATTCTATGAATGATGATTAATTTTTTGAAAAACTACCTAGTCACTTTTCAGAGTGTATGTTTTTAATTGAGCAAAATTGTATTTTGTATTTGTGATGCTAGGAACAAACTAAAAGTTACTATGTAGTTGTCAGAAACAATAAATCCAGCTTTTTGTGCTCTCCGATGTGGCTCTGGTATTTACTTCTATTACTGTAAACCCAGTGACTACTATACCATAACTTGGTCTCTTTGGGCTGTGTTATGTGAACTAAGGAATTAAGTCGGGGCATGGTGATATATGTATTTTCTCAATGTTAATAATCACTTAGGGGCACTGAATGAGGAGCTTATCCGTTTGTGAGGTAGGTACTATTATCCCCATTTTACAGATGAGGAAAATGAGGCACAAGAGAGGGTTAGTAACATGCCAACATGTCACCAAGCTAGGAGCTGGGAGAGCAGAGATTTAAACCCAGGTGGTCTGCCTCCAGAACTGGCATTCTTCATCGTTACCCTGTAATGCTTTCTTTCAGTTCAGTGACTTGAATGGATGTGGAGTTTATTTTGAAATACTGTAGTAAGAAACGAAACCATAAAAAGGACTGTCAGTGGGTAAACTATTTGCTTACCACCTGGGACTACAGCCAATCAACAAAATTCCATTTGTGCAGATTTCGAAGAAAGCTCTCCTCTTTTTTACTTTTGTATCGGGTGAATCAAATTACCTGTGTATAGGATCTATGCCTTTTTTTTTCAGACTTTGAAAACGCTTGACAGGAAAGCTCTTTATTGGTGTTATTTTTAATATTTTAAAAACTTGACATGTAAGAGGGTATTGTTATGTGTCTAAACTGGTTTATAGAGAGGAAATGGAAATGGGCATGCATGTTCTTGTTATTAGAATTAAAGAAAATCCAGGCAGAAATAGTAAATACCGGTTCCTCTGGCTATCCATGTCCAGAAACTACTTTGTCAGGAAAGATGGAATCAGAAGGTAGAACTACTGGCTGTGAAGGGAAACTGAAAACATTTAGATTTCTTCTGGGTGACTCAGAAGGCCAAGAAGGGATTTATGGAAGGCTTGTTATCTTTTACAGACCAAAGAACAATAGAACTCCTGTTACTAGAGTGTGGGCTACAAGAGGCTTGACAGAGCCCTGGATTCATGTGCTTAATCTGGTTGAGACAAAACGTAATAGTTGTCATTGCACATGCATCTCGCTGCCAGGTATTTCACAAACCCTTGCCTGATGCTCAGAGCCATGCTCTGAGGCAGGCAGCAGTATCTGCATCTGTATCAGGGAGGACTAGGCGTGGCTGCGGAGCGCAGCAAATCCAAAATAGCAGTGGTCTAGAACACGATAGTGTTAAAGGGCAGCTGAAGTAGGGAATCCAAAACTCAAGCAGCCCCACGGCCATCAGAAACTAGGCTCAGAAATGTGCATCACCACCACGGCCTCAAGGCTCCCTCAGAGTCCCAGGTGGCTGTTGGGGTTGGAAGCTAGAGGAAAATGAAAGGGAGCAATCGCAGTTAAATTAACACATTTTAAGGAGCTTTCACTGAAGTCCCACGTAACACTTGTGCTTATATCATCAACCAGAGTTAAGCCACAGTTACTGCAAGGGATTCTGGGAGATGTAGATTAAGATGAGGTGGGTGCATTTGTCACCCTGATAGAAAAAGAGAGAGGACGGGAGACAGGCAACAGTCTCGGTGACACCATTGCAGAGATGAGGAACCTAAAGCTCAAAGAGAAGTAAATTGCTAATGCTTGTGAACTAGAAAGCAGAAAAGAGGTTACAACCCGCATCAATGGATCTGCGAAGCCCAGCATCTGCAACCCAACACGTAGCCTTGAGCACAAGAAACCATTACTGAATATAAAGCAGTAGATAAGCCCTTGCTACAAAGGGACGGTGCATATTATAAGTGCAGTGAGGGCAGGTACCATATCTCTTGTTTATTACTGTATCTCTGCTCATAGCACAGGACCCAGACCACTGTTGAGGGTCAATATTGGCTGAATGAATGGATGAGAAAGGATAAAACGGGATGGAAAATGAACTTGATGAAATCTTAGCAGTTAAAAGGAGATTTTAAGATTACAGCAGAGTAAATCCAAAAATGCCCTCAAACCCTGCATGAGGTATGCAGGAAATAACAGGAAATGTTACTATTTTGGAGAGGATTAATTCAGCAAATGTTTATTCTGTGCCTACCCTGTGCCAGGCATTGTAGAAGGTGCTTAGGATGGCAAAGTAGACAAGATGTAGTCCTTGCCCTTTGAGAATTCAGTCTAGGGTCAAAGAGAATTCTGAAGCCATGCCCTATCACTTGGTGGTACGTCAATTACAGTATTGGCCTGACCACTTCCTTGGGGCATTTTCTCTGCAACCCGCCATAGTCTATGGCTGCGGCTCTGCCACTCTTGAGCTTTCATCATGATCCTACTGAAATGTCAGCCTAAACCCTGTCTTCAGACAAGTCATAATCAACAAATTCCAGTACACATTTCATTCCCAAACAGTTGGCTTTCTTCCAAAGGAAATCATGGAGTTTATTTGACCACATCTCACCACCTCTGCCTCCTGCCTCAGCTGCCCTAGTACAAATCACCATCCTTTCCCTCTACACTCCTAGATTACTGCCTTGCTGGTCCTGCTTCCACTTGCTTGCCTTCTGTTTCTGTACCAGTGGACAGATGATTTTTAAACAAGTTACATCATGTCACTTGTCTTCTCAGCCTATGCCTGGCATTGTATTCAACTCCCTACATACATTGTCTTTCTCAGTGATCTTTCCAAGGCAGTGTTCTCCTATTTTATAAAGAAGGAAACATGTTTTCAGAAAAATCCAAAAGCTTCATCTGTGCACTATTCTGGGGTGAATCCAAGAGAGATACCACTGACCATGTTCTCAGGCAACTTACTCCTGATTAGGTAAGCATTAGATACAGTCCTTCAATGAGCCAGACATTAAAGAGATTTGCAAAAAATGTAAAGTGATGCCACTCTTCTTACTAATTTATTTTTGGTTTTGGAAAATATTCTTTTAATTAAAATATTACTTATATTAACATGTAATACGTTTATTATTTTTAAATGAATTAATATTTTTCTCAGTTTTAATTAATAGGTAAGTATTTTACCTATTCTCAGTTTTTATAGGTAAATAGCAGCTGACATAGCTCACATAAACAAAAATGTTTGGGGTCCTCAATAAGTTTTAGGAACATAAAGCAAAGGGGTCATGGAATCTAAACAAGTTTGAAAACTGCCAGAGTAGACTAGTTTTCTCCTGGCATTCTATTTTTGTTCATTCAATCAACAAATATGCCAGGCACAGTTCTGGGTGTTAGGAAAACAGGTGAAGAAGACAGGCAGGCCCTGATCTCATGGAGCTTGCACTCCAGTGGGTGTGTGTGTGCGCGTGCGCGCGCACTTGTAAGGCGACTTAGTCAATGAAGAAGAATGAAGAAGAAAACAAATGAACAAGATAATTGCAGATAATGTGTAAGAGTTGTGAAGAAAATTAAACCGGGTGAAGTGGCTGAGAGTGTGGGTCTAACTTAGATTGAGGCTGGGAAGATGACCTCTGATCTGAGACTTACTGGCAAAGGGAAGCCCCTGCTTTTTCTCTGACTGCTCCTGCCTTGCCTCACTCACTCTGGCCCTGCTGCCTTTTCTGCGGTTCCTTAAATATGCCAGGCAGGTTCCTTCTTCAGGGGTCCTTCTGTCCAGAAAGCTTCCCTAGTTAAATTTTCACTCCAGTCACTCCAGTGCAGATCTCCTAGGAGAGGACTTCTCCAGCCCCTCATCTCAAATCCGTCACTCTCTACCTACTTACTCGGCTTCATTTTGCTTCTTAGGACTTATCTTTAGATGATATTGCTTTATATATTTATGTGTTTATCGTCTCTCTCTCTCCCACAAATAGTAAACTCCATAAAGGCAAAGATTTGGGATGATTGCTATAATTCCTAGATCATTAAACAGTGCCTGGGATACGGAGAGTTCAGTAAATCTGCTGGATAACTGTAAAATTAAATGAAAAAAATATTTAGCTTCCAAAAAGATGAATAAGCAATTTATCAAAAGATTAGCATAGTGATTTTCTCTTTGATGTAACATAAATATCTAACGGGAACAGTGTCAGGCACACAGATACGGAGCCTCAGCAATCAATGTTAGTCGTCTTTGTTACCTGTCTCTCCCCAGACAGAATTTAGGGGGATCTCTGTCTCTTTGTTCCCGCTATATCGACAGCGACTGGATTAGTAATCGGTACACACTAAGCTCTCACTAAATGTGGAATGAATGGGTGCCTCCCTCCTTTCATCAACGGGTGAACTGAGCCTGTAAAAAGACTCTTGGCCAAAATCACTCCAAGCGTCAAGGGAAAAGGCAGGACGAGCACGGGAGGATCCTCACTTCCGCGGGAGGGCTCGCCCCACCACAGATGATTCTCCGCCCCACACAACTGTCATATCTGGTCAAACCTTGCAATTTTCAAGAAAAATAAAAGCGAAAGCCAAAAAGCCTGCCTGCCAGTAAAGAGAAAAGAATGAGAGCACCCAACAACCGGTGTTCCGGGCGCCCCGCACCGTCACGTGATCAGGGATGTCCCGTGATCCAAAGGCGCCAACTTCCGCACAGGCGCAGTGGGCCTCTCCCCCGCCATTTCAGAAATGGCGGCTCCGCTGGGCGGTATGTTCTCTGGGCAGCCACCGGGACCCCCGCAACCCCCGCCGGGACTCCCGGGCCAGGCGTCGCTTCTTCAGGCCACTCCGGGCGCTGCGAGAATTTCTAACAGTACCTTGGTGGACGAATTGGAGTCATCTTTCGAAGTAAGATGAAACGTGGGGGCGGGGAGGCCTGTGCTCCCGGCGTCCCTTCTTTCCTGAAACGTAAGCTGCGCATGCGCAGGTTATCTCCTCCACCGATCCCCGCGTCCTGCTTACAAATGGGGAAACAGGCTCAGGGAACTAAGTCGCTTGGTTTAGTCTGCGCGTTGAGTTGTGGCCGGGCTTCTACTCAAGTCTGCTGGCAGGGACATATAAACTTGACGTTCCCAGCCATCTGTTCTCGTCCCACCACGTTCTTGGTCCCCTCCCTGAGCACCCCTTCCCGCGTTCCTTGTGTTTAGCACGGGTTCATCCTCCCGCCGCAGCGCAGCGTTACACCGTTAAGTCTTGTATTCTTTCCGCTGGGCTCCGATAAGTGCTAAAGTAATGGGACTCCTGGAGGTGAAATGGACTTATTTAAAAATTGCTGTGCGGGGCCAGCCTGGTGGCGCAGCAGTTAAGTGCCCGCGCTCCGTTTTGGCGGCCGGAGTTCGCGGGTTCGCAGGTTGGATCCTGGGCGCCCACCGACGTACCGTGGGGCCATGGTGTGGTGGCATCCCACATAAAGTTGAGGAAGATGGGCACGCATGTTAGCCCAGGGCCAGTCTTCCTCTGCAGAAAGAGGAGGATTGGCATCGGATGTTAGCTCAGGGCTGAGCTTCCTCACAAAAAATAAGTAAGTAAATAAGTAAAAGTTGCTGTGCCCAAGAAGTTGGTACTGGGGGCCAGAACGAAGGAAAGCTGGGGGTTGGGGAGAGTTGAAGTGAGGCAGAGATGAGATGAGCCAAATTCCGAGTTCTGCCCAAGGAGTTTATCCTCTAGCAAGGAAGGTGGGAAGTGGTGGTAGACAAAGGAGAGAAAAATAAGTGCTTTAGGCTGGCCCAGTGACTTAGCGGTTAAGTGCGCGTGCTCCGCTGCTGGCGGCCTGGGTTCGGATCCCGGGTGCGCACCGACGCACCACTTCTCTGGCCATGCTGAGGCCGCGTCCCACATACAGCAGCTAGAAGGATGTGCAGCTATGACATACAACTATCTACTGGGGCTTTGGGGAGAAAAAGGGGGAGGATTGGCAATAGATGTTAGCTCAGAGCCGGTCTTCCTCAGCAAATGAGGAGGATTAGCGCGGATGTTAGCTTAGGGCTGATCTCCCTCACAAAATAAATAAATAAATAAAATAAGTGCTTTGGTGGCTTCCAGTGGTCTCTAAAGTGGAAGATGAGCCATTAGTGTGTGGAAATAATATAACTTCTAATTGGAATCACCTTTTCCACATTTTAAATCCTAGTTACATGAGCTTTATATTGTACGTAGTGGCACAGTAATATGTGAATATAGTTTGTAAATGAATGTATTATTGGGGCTGCATGGGCAAAATGCTTTTACTGATAAAGTGTACATTCAAGCCTCTGACTTAAAGGCTAGAGAAATCTCTTCTCTCTGGGAGGAGGGTGAGACGCCTTTGTGGGGTGTGAAGCCATAAGGGAAAGGGATGGGTAAGCGTTAGAGCGGCATCTAGCATTTTTCTTGAGGTGAAGTGGCTGTCGGGGTCATGAGTGCTTGCTGAAAGATTGACCCTGTAGAAGTCTTGGCCAAAGCTGACCACCAGCACCCTAATGCTTAAAACTCCTTAGTGGCTACCTGTGGCTCTTGGGATGAGACCAGGAGGGTTGGTCTGGTCTCCTTGGCTCTGCATGACCAAGTCTCAGCTCCAGGCCCATTTCTTCTTACTCTGTCCACAGGAGCCTTTTTCTGCGCGTGCCATTTGTTTTCTCTTTGGGCTTCCAGGTGCCCTTCCCCAGCTCACACATCACTTATTCAGTGGACCCTCCCTGCCCCACTTTGTACAATTACCACTAAACCAGGCTCCATTAAATCTGAGACCACCTGTTTTGCCACTTTCCTTTTGTTGTATCTGTAGTGCTAATATGGTGGTAGCAGATAGCAAGTACTTGATGAGTATTTGTCAAACGTGAAGGAGCCTGTTGTGTGTCAGGCTCTTTCCTGGGTGCTAAGAATGCAGAGAAAATAGCCCCTGCCTTCAAGAAGCTCATGACAGCACAGTGGAAGAAGCAGATAAATGGCAGGCAGTTGCTGTGCTGTGGGATTAGTGCTCTGATAGAAGAAACCCCGGGGATACTGTGAGAGCACACATGGAAATGGCTGTCAAAGAAGGCTTCCCAGAGAATGTGAAACCCAAAAGGGCATTTGGACATAGCCAGGAGAAAGGGAGTGGGAGAGGTGCTACCTGGACCCTCCTCTGCCCGTGGGTGATCACTCACCTACTCTTCTCTCAAGACTCAGCTCAAAGGCCACGTTTTCATCTCCTGTTTCCTTCCGTGTGGTCTGTGTGGACCTCTGCTCCACAACCTCCAGTGGCTCATGGCACCTGCTTGCCTGCTTTTCATTTCTACTTGGGTGCCACCCCTTGAGGTCTCTGGCTTTCTTGTTCTAGTTGCTGAGTAAATGCTATTTGATGGAATGAGTTTATTGAGGTCATGCACTCTTGTTGTGGGAGGGAACGTTGGAGACCGTCTCCTCCTTTTACAGATGGAGAAACTGAGGCTCAGAGAGGGAAGTAACTTGCCCAAAGACATACCCTCCGTGTGTGGAAATGAGGACTAGCACTTGGACCTCCTGACTGTCCAGGCAAAGGCTCTGTCTGTCCTAGGCATACTTCTAAAAAGCGTATTCTTTTTATACACCACCTTGCATTTTCATCTCCATACAACTGTCCAACTCTCTATAAAGGCCAGTGTATTTAGGTTTTTTTTTTAAGGGGGGAAGAGGGAACTAAAATTCCTGAGATGAGATTTCCTCCCATCCTGTCTGGTGGCCCTGCTGGCTCTGGGGAAGCAGCCTCAGCTTTATTGGCCAGTTTGTGACTAGTTGGCCCCGTGGATGGAGTGTTTTCCAGTAGCCACAGGTTTCACAAAGTGGATACACCCTACCCATAAGCCAAATCCGCCAGGAGTCACCTTTCAAGGTAATACACAGAATAGACAGTCGGTGTTTTTCTAACTTGTAGAGCTGTTACAGGGATTCCCTGGGAGAATCCTGTGATTTTTCTCTGTAAATGAATTGGGGGCAGCCGCAGGCAGGAGAAGGGCCCTCATGTCTAGTTGATGGCCTAAATTTGGACCCAGAGCTGCCTGCCTCACACCAAGTGTAGTTTGCCTACTGCTGACGGGGCTCTGCCTTCCTGAGGTTTGAGGCTTCCTTTCTGACCCCTGCTTCCCCCACCTCCCTTCACCTTTTCTTTCTGGCTCCGCTGCCCTGCACTAAGGCCTTCTTTGTGCATTTCCTGAGAGTTGCCAGTGCACAGAACTCCTTGGCTGATTAACACATGTGTCCAGATTGATGCCCCTTCAGAGGGAACTCCCTCTTTGGGACTTGTTTGTCCACGTGACACCAGCCTTGTCCATCTCTTAGGCCGTCCAGTGAGTAATTTATCTATTGTATTTATTGAACACCTACTTTGTTCCCAACAGTATTCCCACACCAGGAGTGTAGTGAACAAGACAGGCAAAACACCCAGCCGCTAGCAGGGACAGTTAATAATGAACTAAAAGAGTGGAATGATGGCAGTTAACCGTGTGGAAAGCAATAAAGCTGGGCTTGGGGATAGAGTGTGAGCAGGAGGGGTGCCATTTTGAGAGGGTAGACGAGTGGCCTCTCCAAGAAGGTGACAATTGACCTGAGTCCTGAATGGGTGATGGTACAAGTCATGAAAGCATCAGAGGGAGGGCTGCGGGTGGGGCTGGGTTAGGGGTCCAGGCCCTGGTGTGGAATGAGATGGTGGGGAAAAGAGCAGGTGGTAGGGGATAGACCAGATGGGGGTGCTGGCAAATCCCTGCTGCCTCATTTGCCTGCCTTCCCTCTGGGCCCGATGGACTCACTGTACCCACGTTCTCCATTGGCAAGACACCTTGTCATCTCGTGGGCAAACCCAGGTGCTATCACCTCATTGGATGACTTCAAGAGAACTTAATTCTTACTCTGAAGTAATATTTTTGACATATGATTGACTTTTTCTTCTTTTTTTGGCCATTAAATTTTTTTTTTTCCTTTGACTTTTTTTTTTTCTTTTGTGATATGTTTTCATGACACAGGCTTGCTTTGCTTCGCTGGTGAGTCAGGACTATGTCAATGGCACAGATCAGGAAGAAATTCGAACTGGTAAGAGCTCTCTCTTTGTAGATGATGTTCTTGCCTTCAGCAAGATTCCTAATTGCTCATTTTACTCTTGATGTATTTCAGCCCTGCTTGTATCCTAAGAGAGCTTTTTGGGGGAATAAGATTTATGTAAATAATTTCTATATACTGCTGCTTCTTCACTTTAGTAATTGAGAGCCTATGTCACTCGTAATAAACCACTTATAATGAACTTTTCATATTAGTACTAGGACAAAAAGACCAATATGTGTACTGCTTTTAAAAAAGATAAGTTTTTATTATTTTTTGAATAGCTGTTAGAAAGAAAAATCCCTTGTGCTTCCCCTTCCTCACCCAAGTTCTGACTCCAGAGGTGACCACTGCTTCTCATTTCTTTGTACCATATTTTAAATGTCTTATTTTAACTGGAAATCATGATACTAATTGCCAGATCTCTGGATTGATTTTCTTCAGAAGAACTCATGGCTTTTGTGTTGTGTTAAGGTCTCCAATTCACCCTATAAAGACACGAATTATCTACTATTTAATATTGGTTAACATCTGGGGAGTAGGGGGTCAATATTGTTGCTGTGGCTGGGATTAAAATCCCAGATTACATCTTTGAGAAGGTGCTCTTTTGATATTCTGACTGTTCATTTATGAGAGAGGTAAATGTGTCTAATGTTTTTCTTAATATAATATTTCGATCTATTTTTTAAGGTGTTGATCAGTGTATTCAGAAATTTCTGGATATTGCGAGACAGACAGAATGTTTTTTCCTACAAAAAAGATTGCAGTTATCTATCCAGAAACCAGAGCAAGTTGTCAAAGAGGTACGAACTCACTTTTCTCCTAACTTTTAGGAAGAGCACGCGTTTTCAGGATTCTATTTGTACTTTAAATACGATACCCCCTTTTCCAGTCAGTTATGGTAGGGCTTTCTAGCTTGGGTGTAAAATGTTGCTAGTTGTCAGTGTTCATGACAACCTGCTTCATGACAACCAGGTAGTGGAGCCGGGGTGGAGGTGGAAAGCAGACTTTCAAACAGCAGTTTCACACACTGGCTTTCATAGAAGATTTTCCTTAAAGAAAAGGTTCTACTGCTAGAAAAAGGTTGAAAAGCCATTAATGTAGATGATAAGCTCAGTTTGGACAGGAGCTGTGCCCTGTGTGTCCCCCGGATGCCTTACCCAGTGTCTTTCACACAGGAAGGGCTCTGTCAGATTTTGTTCGAGGGATCAAAAGTACAGACATACCTTGTATTGGGTCCCACTTTATTGCGCTCCGCAGTTACTGCATTTTTTACGAGATCCTCTACCAGCAAAAAGATGATGACTTCTTGAAGGCTCAGATGATGGTTAGCATTTTTTAGCAATAAAGTATTTTTTTTAAGGTATGTACATTGTTTTTTTAGACATAATGCTATTGTATATTTAAGAGACATACACAGTATAGTGTAAACATAACTTTCATATACACTGGGAAACCAGAAAATTCTTGTTACTCACTTTATTGTGGTGGTCTAGAACCAAACCTGCAGTATCTCCGAGGTATGTCTGTAAATGTTCTGTCCCAGGCTCCTCGAAACTCAGGATTTCATTTATTTCAGTTGTTTGAAACTGGGGTATTTAGAAGTGTGTTAGGCTGCCATGATGACCAGGAAGATTTAATGGCAGTTAGTGGGTTGGGCCTGGGCCTGCCCCCGCCTGCAGTGTGGAAGAGGGAATCACATCCTGCCCAGAAGGCCAGGGATGCCCCCAATGAGAAGCATGGAATTGAAATGATCATTTTTGGGCAGTTTTTGAAGTAACTACCCTCGTAAGCTGAGCAATTAATCCAAAACATTCTTTTTATTTATTGGTACCAACTGTTGAGAAGGTGAATGATAAGATGATCTTACAGTTCACTGTGTCAGACCATTTCTTGATTTGAATACTTGAGTAACAATACAGTCATGCACTGCATGATGACGTTTCGGTCAGCGACAGACCACTTACAGGGTGGTGGTTCCGTAAGATCAGTACCATCTAGCCTAAGTGTGTATAGGCTACACCATTTGGTTTGTGTAAGTACACTCTGCGATGTTCACACAATGATAAAATCGTCAAATGATGCATTTCTTAGAACATATCTCTGTTGAGCAACGGATGACTGCATAGGTGTGTTCAAGGTCAGGTCTTAATAAAGAATTATAATGCTGGTATTCATTTAAAAAAGCTCTTGAAAATGAGAATTTAACACTTCATAATCTGAAATGATAGAACAGTGGTTGTAGATTCTTTTAAACAGTTATTAACATGTATTTCAGATTCTCAGTGTTTTAGATTCTCAGCAGTAGCCTTTGAACAGAGATACTCGTACCTGGGGACCAGAATGGGAAAGAGATGGATTTCTTTTGCCCACCCTTTGGTACTTTGGAATATTGTAACTTGGGTGTTAATTATTAAAATAAAATGAATTAAAAATAAAAACTCTCTGTGTTAGGCAGTCGTCTTCCATTAGAAGAGTTGTTTTAGGTTTTTCAAATAGTGGAACCAAGCAGAGTAATGGACTTATTATGGCTTAATTGATTCTCTTTGTTTTGGATTTACTTCTTCGTGCTCCTAACTAATCAGGAACTGTATTCATTTTTCATGAGTTTGCTCTGACTTCATCGCCTTCATCTGTAGGATGTCTCGGAACTAAGGAACGAATTACAGCGGAAAGATGCTCTGGTCCAGAAGCACTTGACGAAATTGAGGCATTGGCAGCAGGTGCTGGAGGACATCAATGTGCAGCACAAAAAGCCAGCCGAAATCCCTCAGGGCTCCTTGGCCTACCTCGAGCAGGCGTCTGCGAATATCCCTGCACCCATGAAGCAAACCTGAGTCAAAGCCAGCCTGCAAACCAGCTGGTGGATGAGTCAGCCTCAGCACAGTCTTGCCAAGCATCACTTGTAGACACGATATTTTGGAAAATCTCTTTGCCAGGGAATGACATGATTTTAGTTTTATGTGCCCACCTAAAATTTTTCCGCTATGTAAGTGTTATTTCTTGAGTACTTTATAAAATGCTTACAGCCTTGGTAAACCAAGTAAATTTTTTTGTCTTTAATGGAATTTAGAACTGTTAGTGTGATGTCACTTAAAGATTCCTTTTTATTTCTTTTTTTTGCTTGTTTTTATTTTTTATTTTTGTATGACTGTTAATCTCTTTGTATGTTTCCAGTTTTAGTTTGTATGATTTGAGGGAAAAATAGTTTGTATGATCTGATCTGAGAATCAGACGATGAGGATGTTTGTTGTAGGTCTTTTATGATAATTATCCCTCAGTGGTAGTGTACGGAAATCTGTAAGTTTGCTGTGTTTCAATCTTTGAACTACCTCAGGAAGAGGAATTTCATGTAACTTGAAATTTGTAATGCTTCCAGAGTGCTCAGAAGGAGGAGATTTTGTAAATAGGTCAGAAGAGGATTGTAATATTCTAGGTTAGTGTGGTAATATTACAATAGGATCCTTTAATTGGTGCTCTTATTGGAGTAAGTTTATATTTTGCGTGTTGTTTATTTACCTATTGAGGGGTAGGGTATGTAATAGGAACAGTGAGGTGCTAAGTTTTGTTACGTTCTGAAGTACCGCATCAGTTTGAGTCACAGGGCAGACCCTGTTCTCAATAGCCTGACTTGGGGCGTAGGTGAAGTGCGAGGGTTGGAGCTTGCTGTAGTCATCTCTTTCTGAATTTTGTTTGCTTGTGTCATTTTTGTTTTGCTTTTTTGGAGCAGAAGTTTCCAGTAAGGAAGTTTCTTGCTAATGGATGGTATTGATTCCAGGGGACTGGGTTCTCAAGGTGTGGGGGTGGGCTGCAGGATGACCCCCGGCAACTTCCTCTTCACAAAAAGCACGTGGAACCTTGGCATTTGGGACGATATTTTACCCTCTTGTTGGTTACGCAGCCACCTCAGATTCTCTGTTGAACGGCTCTTGAGAAATACAGACTGGCGTTGTGTCTGGCTCTCCTTGGATGAGGCTTTCCTCTCTCTGTTTACAGTCTCATTAGATTACATCTCTTTACCCAAAATAGGCGCTCCACTGTCTTCTGAACAGGCAGTGCTTCTGTGACTTGGTGTCTTGACTCATTCTGTTTTCTCCAGCCTTGAAGGCCCCCTCCCCACATGCATTGACGTCCACTCGTGGTCCCGTCTGGCCTGGATGCCGCCTGGTCCCTAAAGCCTCCGAATGCCCTCTCAGTCACACCCCCAGGACACAGGACTTCCTTTCTCTTCTGCCAGCTTTGCTTTGTTCTCCCTTGGGGGTTAGTGATCTGAATCTATCTCTTTGCCCCTCATGAGAAGTAGGCGTTATTCCCCTCTGAATATACAGGCACATTTATCTTTTTTTTGGTGTGTGTGAGCAAGATTAACGCTGAGCTAATATCCAGTGCCAATCCTCCTCTTTTTTCTGAGGTAGATTGGCCCTGAGCTAGCAGCTGTGCCCATCTTCCTCTGTCTTATGTGGGATGCTGCCACAGCATGGCTTGAAAAGCAGTGCATCGGTGCATCCCTGGGATCTGAACCCGTGAACCCTGGGCCACCGAAGCGGAGCACACGCACTTAACTGCTGTGCCACTGGGCTGGCCCCACATATTATTTATCTTTTATATGTAATACTTATTACTCATTTTTGTTTGTGTATGGAGGAGTACACAGCCTGAAGTCAATGAATCCCCTCAATCAGAATGTATGGATTAAACAAAACTCTTAAAAGTTGTTTTTAATCTCAACGACAAAAAAACTAACAGCCCAATTAAAAAATGGGCAAAAGACCTGAACAGACGTTTCTCCAAAGAAGATATACAGTTGGCCAACAGGCACATGAAAAGATGTTCAACATCATTAACTATCAGGGAAATGCAAATCAAAACTACAATGAGATATCATCTCACGCCCATCGGAATGGCTATAATTAACAAGACAGGAAACAACAAGTGTTGGCGAGGATGTGGAGAGAAGGGAACCCTCCTACACTGCTGGTGGGAGTGCAAACTGGTGCAGCCACTGTGGAAAACAGTATGGAGATTCCTCAAAAAGATAGAACTACTATATGATCCAGCTGTTCCACTGCTGGGTATTTACCCAAAGAACATGAAAACACCAATGCGTAAAGATAGACGCACCCCTGGGTTCATTGCAGCGTTATTCACAATAGCCAAGACTTGGAAGCAATCTAAGTGCCCATCAAGGGATGAATGGGTAAAGAGGATGTGGTATGTATACACAATAGAATACTACTCAGCCATAAGAAACGATGAAATCCAGCCATTTGTGACATGGATGGATATTGAGGGTATTATGCAAAGTGAAATAAGTCAGAAGGAGAAGGTCAAATACCGTATGATCTCACTTATTAAGTAAGTAGTAGATAACAACAACAACAAACAAACACATAGAGACAGCGATTGGATTGGTGGTTACCAGAGGGGAAGGGGGGAGGGGGGTGAAAGGGATAATTAGGCACATGTGTGTGGTGATGGGTTGTAATTAGTATTTGGGTGGTGAACATGATGTAATCCATGCAGAAATAGAAGTATAATGATATACACCTGAAATTGATACAATGTTATAAATCAGTGTTAACTGCAATAAACAAAAAATAAATAAAAGTTGTTTTTACTTGTGTGAATTCAAGGTTGTTAACCTGGTCATCTCATGCTAATTAGAAGCTCTGATTGGCAGCTTTAGATTTCTTGACTAAAAACGTAAATAAACTGATTAAGTTTTAGGCAGTTTTTCTATGATACAGAAGTTCTTAGTGAAAAGATTGGGAATTCTACTTGGTGCTTAGTGAAAATATTTTGAATTAATGTATATACCAGTTACTGCCATTTATTTATTAAATTCAAAAGTTTTCTGTCTCTGAATAAATAATTTTTCAATCTTGTTTGTTTGTAAACATCTTTTTCCTTGTAGTGACATCTAGCTAGTTGATGATCATAGAACACTCTATGAGCTGCTGTCTCCTTCAATGAGAAGACGACAAGCTGTCAGCTGGGAATTCTGTTACCTTCCCACTCCTTCCCACTCCTGGAATGATAAACCTATCCACATCTTCAGGGCATCTTTTTTGTCCTTCCTGTTCCATCTACTGAAGTACCTTCCCTGTGTAAGATGAACCTTTCCACGAGTGTTTTGGGTCCCTAGGTCTCTAGGACTTAACCCCTAGGGTGGCTTCTGCCCCCCTGCATCGCCCATCTGCTGGATAATTCCCTACAGCTCACTAGAGTTCTTGATCTCCCATCTTCAGCATTCCGCTTGGTGCTTGTGCTGCTGTCCCATTTCCCTGCCCCTCATCCACAGTCTCCAGCTCCTCCCCTTCTCCCTTCCTTTTCCTACGCCAGGCTGTCCCTCCCACATGACCACAGCTGTGCTGGTTACCAGCCAGCCACGTCACTGTGGCGAAATCAAATGGACACTTCTCCATCTTTTTTACTTGAACTCATTCTCTTTAATACGTCTTCCCTTCTTTTCTCTTCTACCCACCCTCTTAAGTGTTGACATTCCTGAGGGTTTGGTCCTGGGCTTCTGGAGGCCATGGAGGACCGCTGCTCAGTTCTCTCTTCAAGAGAGCCACCTTGAGGGTGCAGTTCCCGAAGCTGTTGCCTTTGGGGATCTGCAACAGCGTTCTCACAAAGGCTGTGCTCTTCCGGGGTGTGACCAAGCACAGCGGGGGTACTGGAGCCGGATCATTTCTGCCCAACACAGCATACCTCTAATGGGCAGTCCTTTCTCTGGAGATCCCGTTGGCCTGGCTGAGACTTGATCAGAGCTCTCTTGCTTTCTGAGTCTCTTTTGCCCAAATTGTCCCTGGCCCTCCTTTCACAGGCGTCAACCCTGCATCATAGTCTCGAGGCTCTTCTCTCTGCTTCCCCTCCCCTTTATCTTACACGAGTGTTTCCCCTGAGCAGAGGGAAGAACCTGTCCCTGACATCTGGACGCTGACCAGCACTGCTAGGCCATGTTCTTCTCCTGTTGGACGTAAACAGTCTCGGAATACCAACCTCAGACAAAGTTACTCTGAGACCATGATAAAGTAAGAAAAACCCCTTCATAATTTTGTCTAAGCACAGGAAAAAAAGGTCACTGTGCCACCCAAAATCCTGGCTAAAATGAGTGCTTTTTTTTTCTTTTCTTTTTTTTTCTTTTCTATTTACAGCTTTAGCCTTACTCTAGTCTGCCCTCCCTGGAGATAAGATTTATTGAGACCCCCAGTCATGGAATTGCCCCCACTTTCTGACAGCATCCAATCTAGAGTGACTCTGCTTCCTTAGACGATCCTAGAAATCACCCAACCAATGCCAATATCCTGAAATAGGTTCTTTCTAACACCGTGTTTCTGAGAAGCCCGACCATTCTCCACACAGAGCCTTCCTCACTGCAGCGAGTCATAAACTCACCTTGTTCAGCTACAGATGTGTTTCCGGTGGTCATTGGCTGAAGGGCATTGACATCCCCCACAAATTTCTTGCACCTCTAATTGTGTGTTGAGGTTGCCTCCTGGAGGACCTGCCTGACTTGGCTGTGACAGACATGGTCTGAAAGCAGGCAGCATGGGGTTTGGGGACTGGGCTCACTCACTGTCCTGCTGGCAAGGAGGACCCATCCTGAGTGGTATGTGAGGTACAGACAGGCACTGGCACAAGGGAGTGGCGTCATTCCCGAATATTCCACCAGTGGTGCCCCGGGAAAGTGTCCCAGTGGAAGGGAACACTATTGGTGCAAGGACTCAAACGTTTGGAAGGCTGGGGAAGTAGTGTTTACAAGAACAGTAGAGTTGGCTGGTTATCACTATCCTGTCTTGACTCCCAGTGAGTGATAATGATAAATTAACAGTGCTGAAAAGGTCAAAGGCCACTATGAGTGCCTGGGGCGTCTTTGAGTATCTCCTGCAGGGGGAGAGCAGACCGCTAAGGAGCTAGCAGGAGGTAGCAGATCAAACATAATACTGTGTCCTGGGGGTGATAGTGGAGGTTAGTGCTACCCTTAGAAACCCAAGGGATGCAGGGAATTTGCATGGTCCCTATCATAGCTCCTTTTAATTCGTGATGCTTGCCCCTTGCA